TGTGAGCAGATGTGCACGCATGAACACATCAACATTGAAACAGATCAGCAGCAACATGAAACAGATCAGCAGCAACATGATATGGTTTTTCACAGTGATTATTCTAGTTAGAGATTCATGAGTCTAACAGCCTCAGGGTAGAAGCTGTTCCTCAGTCTAGTGGTTCTACACTTAATGTTCCTCAACCTCCTTCCTGAGGGGAGTGGGGCAAAAAGTGTGTGTGCTGGGTGAGTGTGGTCCTTCATGATAATAATAATAATAATAATGAACTGATAACTTGTTTACTACTAACTATTGCCAAATGATGAAATCTGTAATGATTACTGAATAAAACAGATGATGACGGTTTGGAAGGCTTGCTGAAATCATTTATTTGAAATGTTTCATTTATCCTGAAAAGTTTTAAACTTTGAGGATTTTATTAATCATTTTATATATATTTTTATTTAAAACCAAAAATAATAAAATAAACTTAAATCACACTAAACAGATAAAAATAAAAGTTCATAAAAACGTTCTCCAAGGTAAAAAGATAAAATAAAAAAGATATAGCTAAAGTTTTAAATTATAAAAACAATATTTATTTTAATTTTTATTTTAAGTGAATTGTTCTCATTTACAAACATGACGTATCTGTAAAGAATCCACCGGTACTGGTTCTGATCCAACTAAAAACTTCTTTCAAAACGTGAACATTTTAGATGGTTCTGGTTCTGTTTTCAGAGATGATGGACTCTCATCTGGTCCGACTTTCTCTGGTTTTGTTAACAAGCTGCTCTAACCGGGTCTCAGCAGTAGAACTTTTTTCTGCTCATCTTGTTCAGTTTGTACTGTTGTGGGTCACAGATGTGATAAAACGGGTCGTGAGGTTCTGGCCTAACTGGTTCTGGTCTCCCCTCAGGTGTACTCTCCGATGGCAGGCAGCGGGATGGGTTCTGGTCTCGGGATGGCCTCCATGTCAGGCTACATGTCCGGCGGCGGGACCACATCGGGCTCCTTCAACATGTCCTATAACGGTACCGGTCTGAGTCCTTCGTCAGTGGGCGGGGTGGGGGGCTCGGGTCCGGCAGCCATGTCAGGTTTGGGTGGGGGCGTGGCCTCCATGGGCGGGGCTCTGAGTCCCTCAGGTGTGGGCTCGGTGTCGGCTCAGCAGCCCATGGGCCTGAACCCGTACGGAGGCATGAGTCCCACCATGAGCTCCAGCATGGCGTTCGGGGGCGGGGGACTGAACCGGGCCCGGGACAATAAGACCTTCAGACGGAGCTACCCGCACGCCAAACCCCCCTACTCCTACATCTCCCTCATCACCATGGCGATCCAGCAGGCGCCCAGCAAGATGCTGACCCTGAGCGAGATCTACCAGTGGATTATGGACCTGTTCCCGTACTACAGGCAGAACCAGCAGCGCTGGCAGAACTCGATCCGGCACTCGCTGTCCTTCAACGACTGTTTCGTCAAGGTTTCCCGCTCGCCGGACAAACCAGGGAAGGGGTCCTACTGGACCCTGCACCCGGACTCTGGGAACATGTTCGAGAACGGCTGCTACCTGCGGCGCCAGAAAAGGTTCAAGTGCGAGAAGAAAATATCTGGGAAACCGGACAGGAAGGAGCCGATGGGGTCCGGGGGGGCACCGGGAAGGTCTCACCCGGACGTTTCCACCAAGCCTGCTGGACTTCTGGACTCATCTGTACCCTCCTCCAGCCAGGTGGCCTCCCCTGCAGGTCTGGACCTTTCAGAGGGTGTTGGAGACCTGAAGGTGTCCAGTTCTCAGCTGTTGTCTTCACTGTCCTTGCCCCCTCACTCCATGGCCCATGAGACCCCCTTGCACATCAAAGGAGACCCCCACTACTCGTTCAACCACCCGTTCTCCATCAACAACCTGATGTCGTCCTCGGAGCAGCAGCACAAACTGGACCTCAAGGCCTATGAGGCCCTGCAGTACTCCTCCTACAATGGTGGGGGGGTCTCTGGTCTTGGAGGGCGGACCATGGAGCCCCTGGAGGCTTCGTACTACCAGGGGATGTACCCCAGACCCCTCCTGAACAGCTCGTCATAGCCACTGCCGCACTCAGACCCCACTGCATGCAGCTGAACCGGACTTCCTGTCAGACAGGAAGTGTTCTGAGCTGGACTCTCCTGCACTGTGACCGAACCGAGACTTTTGAACTCTGAGCCGATTAAAACTGGTCCCAGGTCTGTGGTCTCCTGTACACGCATACACACACAACTTACTTCAACATGTCAAGAAACTACGTTAAAAGCACCAACGTAGGATCTCTAAAACATTCTGAGAAAAGAGTCGGGCCCAACCAGAATCTGTGAGCTGATTTAAGTCCAGAACCAGGGATGAGATCTTCATCAGAACCTCATATGTCTAAATTTCTTCTCTTAATCTAGCAGAATGAACATCTGAAGGTACTCCCTCCTCCTTTAGCACATTTTCTCCCACCATCACTTGTCATCATGGACGGCATGGACAGCATTTGTTTGTGTGTTAGCAAAATATGTCATGAACTAATTAAATTCAAGATGGCCGTCACAGCTAATCAACTTTTGTAAACACAACGATGGTTATAACTCAGCTGATCCTTCAAAGAAGCCATAGTTTTCTTTGGGTTGCTGAATCATATTTGAGCTCAGCTGTATCGTTTGAGACATGTTTGAGACATGTTTGAGACATGTTTGAGACTGGTTTGAGACTGGTTTGAAATGTGTTAGAGAAACATTTCAGACACGTTTTAAACTGGTTTGAAACAAGTTTAAGCCACGTATATTATTATCATGTATGCTAAAATATTGATTAAATTTTATATTTAAATGAAGCATAATTTTAGCAAATGAAAACAGAATGTTATTTCAAAGGACCAAAAGTTTTTTATAACCCTTTTTAAGTCCCAAAAGGTAAACGAGAGGAAAACAAACAGCGTTAGACGGACTGCATTCCCCTGACTGCCTCCTTGTATGCTAAAGTTTTACCAACATGTCTGTTGGATGACTCTCAGCTACTTCCACGTAAAATTTTAGCCTCAAATCTGTAAAATCGATTGAGTTTAGCCTAAATATTAAAGCCTGCTAAAGGCTGGGTGGTGACTCAAAATTCCAAGAAATTTAGAATCTCATTGAAATGGTCGTGACATTCATGCAATAAAATTTAAATATATTTGTCTCAATTTAGTCACAAAGTCTCATTTTATGTGTATTTTAAATGTCAAATTATCTTATCTTTTATTTATGTCTCAATTTGATTGCAATTTATTATTATAATTATTTTTTTGTCTCTAATTTGGTTTCACTGGTCCCAAAACTGACTCACAAACAGTAGGTCACATTTCACTGGTCTGTGAATGTTGGAGACACAAAATTGCAAGACATGTTGAAAATTTCACTTGGAAATTCACTGAATTGTATCTAAAAAAAGTTTATGTTAACTGAAAATAAATTGCAACACTCCCACATAAGACAAATACTTTTGTCTTAGTGTAGTTTTCAAATTGTCTCAATTATATCTCAATCTTATCAGTTTTTTATTTTATTTTATTTTATTTTTTTATGTTTTGTCGTCAATCAGTCTTAATTTAGCTTTACTGGTTGCAAAATTCCCCCAAACTTCTTTTTGTATTTTTTGACTCACATAAATTTACTTCAGGAATCTTAAGAGACACGTTTGAGACTGTTTGAAACAAATTTGACATATGTGAAACAAGCTTGAGACATGTTTGAACAAGTTTGAGTCTGGTTTGAAACTAGTTTGACACAAGTTTAAGACGAGATTGAAACAAGTTTCATACTAGTCTGAAACGAGTTTGAGACGCATTTCAGACACGAGATTATTTGAAATGAGTTTAAGACATGTTTGAGACACATTTCAGAATGGGTTGAAATGAATTTGAGACATGTTTGAGGCACGTTTCAAACTGGTTTGAAACAGGTTTGAGACACAATTCAGACTAATTCGAAACAAGTTTGAGACATGTTTGAGATGTTTTAGACAGGGTTGAAACATTTGAGACAGTTTGAAATGAGTTTGAGACATGTTTGAGAAGTGAATGATGACTTGAGAGAAAAATGTTTTGCAAATTAGTTTAAAACTCCTGTGACATGACAGCGAGGTCCAGACGCCCACAGGAAGAGCTGGAGAACCCTGGCAGACGCTTGTTTTGAAAACTCCGTCATGAACGCTGTTTTGAGATTAGTCACCAGCAGCCGCAGCTCGGTCAGATATGAGTTTTGGTTGGATTAGTTGTGCAGGGGCCCACCGAAGAGTTTTCAAAGGGATTTAGTCCACTGACAAACCAAAATCCTGACTTCAATTTGGATCACTCTCTGCTACTACCACGCCAAATGTTACCTCATTTTCAGTAAAACAGGCAGGTTTGTTTTGCCAGTTTTGTGTTTGTTAAGGGGAACTAGCTGTGGCAGCCATCTTTTACTGGATTGACTCCAAAAGTAGTCATCCAATGATCACTTGCTGAAAGTTAAATTAAAAGCTAATCAGTGATTTGTCAGATATTTTACTAACAGACTGTTATAGCAGCAGGGATTATTTTAGGATGAACATTTCGGGGCCCAACAACAACAAAATAGATTTTTTTCTAAAGACAAATATTTTTACGCATCTTCTTTTTTTTAAATATTAATTCAAGAAAAATAAAATAAATAGATATCACCCCCTCTATGGTAATTTGTTTTCTTGTCTTTAAACTCTCTGAGCTCACATCAGGGAAAAAAACAACGTATTTTACAGAAAATAACCTCAAACTGGCAGTTTAGATGTTTTTATAACAAAGTATTTTAAGGAACGAGGAGGAAAAACCTCCTCAGCTGAGTGAGGAGCGTGGACTTTGTTTAGATCGAGGTTTCATTTACAGGAAGAGAATTGTTTTTTGTTTTACCAGTTTATTTCTCCCACGACCTCCAGAGACCCTCAGTCACAACCCAGTTAGAGAATCTGTTCACACATGCAGGGTCGGATCATCCTATAGACCCCCCCCCCCCCCCCACGATCTGTTTAAACACCCCCCAACCCCCGCTACACACACAGCATCTGATCTTTTGTCAATAAGCAGAAAAATCAGCTTTAAAGTAAAAATGTTCCTCAAACAAAACATTTCACTTCAGCTTATCGTCAAAACGACGGGTCCCAGCCCAGAAACACATCAGCGCCATCTTTAAGAAGATGCAGCCAATCGAACTTTATCTCTGCAAAATTTAATTCTTCTGTCCGTCACGTGACCCGGTCCCTGCAGCTCCATCAGGTTCAGATCTGACCCGTCCAGAACCAGAAGCTTCAGACGGCTGGATCATCCTATTCCCGAGTGGATGTTTGGTGTTAAACTCAGCGCTCGTGATTGCTGATGTGTATGATACACGCACGCACGCACGCACGCACGCACGCACACACACTTCATGTTGTGTGTTTTTGGTCCTCGTTTGATTCTGATGCATGTTCTTAAATTATTGTCATTTTTAAATAAAACATGAAAAAAACTTTTAGGTTTCAGAAGTTTTTTTAATCAACTTAAATAAATCAGTTTATCTTCTTTGTGCGAGTATTTCTAAAAAAATAAATAAAATTAATAATTGAATAATTAAATTGTACAGGAAATGTAAAAACTGAACAGGATTTATCCAACAGTTCAGGTATTAGATTTATTTAATGATTGGATCCTTAAAATATTACATAATATCAATAAATCAAGAATTACTTTGAGTCGTTACAAAGAAATATTTGTCTGTTAGAGCAAATCAAAATTTTATTTTATGTCTTATTTTTTAAACATTTTGTAGTCATTTTATATTTAACAATGTTATTTTGTGTATATTTTAATAGTTTTTTGTAGTTTTATTAGGTCATATTTCTTTTTAAGATAATTAATTAATTAGTTATTGGTAAAATAATTATGTAATTTTGATTTTATTACTCTTTTATTTCTGACTCTGATGAGTCCAGAGTAATTATTTCTGGTGCAGATCTTTTAGGTTTTGCTTGTTTGTTTGGTTCTGATAAACAAATTAAAAGAAAATTTTTGTTTTTTTAAAATAGTATTAAAAAACAAACAAACAAAAAAAACATTATTGTTGTAAATTCCGAAGCATTGAAAGGTCTCTCTCCTCCCCACCACCCCCTTGTTTTTTTAAATTCTTAATTTTTTTCTGCACCACCTGGTTCTGATCAGTTCAGACCCGACGGACCCCCTGTGGCCTCAGAGGCCAAGCAAAAACCTCCACTGCAGCCCTGTGAACCCAAACTCACAGATTTCTGATTTTAAAGCTTTTTCTCACTTTTAGATCCAGAAAAAAGGTTCAAGATAAACCAGATAATTACCAGTTAATTATCAGTTATATACCAGTTAATTACCAGTTAATTATAAGCTAACTACAGTTAATTATCTGTCTCTCAGGGACCCGAGAGGAGAGTTTAACATCTAAAACAAAACAAAACGTCAATGAATACATTTAAATAGTTTATGGAAAGAAAAAAACGCTTGTAATGAGTTAATTTGTTTAATAATCGGCCTTCGGTTATTTTAAATCTAAACTTGTTTTAAATAAGCAAACAAGCAAAAAAATATTAATTTTGTGTTACAGTAAAATATTAAGATAAAAGGAAAAAAAAACAAAAGCAGAAAAAAACATTAAATGTTCTGAAATGATAGAAATAAAAAGCAGCTTAGAGCTCCTAAAAAACAGACAAGAACCTGAAGTGTAAAATAAGGTTTTAATTAAATATTTTCAAAATGTTGCACAACAATGAAAATAATATTTTTGTATTTTATTTCAGCTTTTTTAAACACTAAAAGTTTTTTCAGTACGTGAAGCTAAAACAAAAACATTTTTCAACAAATATATTCAGGTTTTCTTGTTTAAAATAAAATAAATTAAAGATCCTCAACCTGATCACATGGAGGTTTGAAATAGAACTGTTTAATTTAAGAACTTAAAATATAATTATTATTTAATTGATGCCGTTTTGAAAGACTTCAAACGAACAGTTCCACAAGAAGATGATCAAACTGGATCATTTGATTTGAAGCTTTAATTTTTCACTTTTTTTAA